GGGGTTGGAATGAGGGTCATGTGTTACCTGATGAAGGGTACGACATTTGCTAATATAGACATACAAGCCCAGAGTAGGGAGAAGAGGGAAGGGTTCCAGACCCAGGAGCCCAAGCTTTCTTCAATAATGGTGATTCACCACAAGAGTTCAAGATAGGGGCGACTTCATCATAATTTGGAAATAAAATGCAGACAGTGCGTGAGTTGGAGAGAAAGAGGTTGGGGCTGGAGACCAGGCAGGAAATGGGTGCAAGGGTCCAGGTGAAGAGCAGATCTGGGCCAGATCAGTCAGAGGGAGATTCAGAAATCACGATGGAAGAAGCCAGGTGAGACTTGGTAGCTTTCGGGGGGACTTGTGGGGATGGGTGGAAGGTAAGAGAAGGCTCTGGGGGGGGTGACTTGAGATTTGGAGCCCAGGTGATTGAAATGCAGACTGCGCTGCCCTCCAGGGGGACAAATTTTGCAGGCAGGTGGGAATGCAGGTCTGGTGGTAGGAGTGGTGTCTGACTAGAGCTGTCCGCTCCGTGGGAGCAGGAGAAGATGGGCACTGGGTGTGCTGCTTGTTTTGGAGAGAACCTGGGGACCATGGGATCTGCCCCTCACTACTTCTCTCCTGGGTATCCAGAGCCCAGCTGTGGCCTTCTGAGCAAGACTCCTGTCAGCTTAGAGAGCCCTGGGGTAGAGGAGGGTCCTCTGGCTTTAAACAGAATGAGGCCTTGGATTCAGGCGTTTATGAACTCCAGTATGTCTGAGTCTGGCTGTCCACTGGTTGATTCTTTATCAGTACATGACACTGCCACCTTGGTTACATAGCTTGGATTTTGGGACTTATTCACAGGTGATTCTGGGGCAGAGCATTGCTAGGGGAGCACTGGGTATCTATTTCAAGGCTTTGGGAATACTACTATTTCTTTCTTCGTGGGTCTTAGTTTTCTGTTCTTTGGAATGGGTGCAAATGTTCCCAATTAACTGACTGCTAGTGACCAAGGTGCTTTTTTTTCGGGGGTGGTGTGTGGCACATACTGGAGATTGAACTCAGGGGCCCTCGTCCACTGAGCACATCCTCAGCTCTGTTTTTTATTTTATTTAGAGACAGGGTCTCACTGAGTTGCTTAGCATCTCGTTTTTGCTGAGGTTGGCTTTGAACTCACCAGCCTCCTGCCTCAGCCTCCTGAGTCTCTGGGATAGGTGTGTGCTACCACACCCAGCTCAAGTTGCTTTTAACATTTGAGAGGTGTACTACATCCCTACTCAGGAAGTACCTCAGAAGACTCCAGGATCAGGAAGGTAGGTCCCTTTGCATACTCTTTGAAGCCCCCACTTCTCCTGTCTCTGAGACAGGGGCTGCATGAGAAACATGCCAGAAAGGCTTGTCTTCCTCCTGCCTCCCACTGAGGTGCCTGATACCCTCAGACTCTAGAGTCCCACAGATCTCTCTGAATCTTGCCTCTGTTCCTAATTAGCTGTGTATCTTGGGAAAAGACTTCTCTTTGAGCTTCAGTGTCATTATCTATAAAATTAATAGCAACCATAGTGTTGGTGTGAGGGTTAAATGAAAAAAAAATCATGGAAAACACAAAGTAAGTGTGATATTTTGGGGTCTTTTCTTTTTTTGGTACCGGGGCTTGAACTCCCAGACACTGAACCACTGAGCATTCCCTGGTCCTTTTTATATTTGATTTAGAGACAGGGTCTTGCCAAGTTGCTGAGGCTAGCTTTGAACTCACAATCCTCTTGCCTCAGCCTCCTGAGCCGCTGGGATTACAGGCATATGCCATGGCCCCTGACTGGGGTCTTTATGAATAAAGGTTTTTCTGTCACCAAGGAGCCCCTGATGAAAAAGCCCAGACACATTAAGGAATCACTTGAGAGGGTTATGACCATCAGAATTGAGAATGAAGATGGACTAGGGAGCTGAGGATGCCAGGGGGAGGCTCTTGCCAAGTTTCTGGGGTTGGACCTGCAGAACAGGGCTGGCAGGCGTGACGGGCGCTGTCCGTGGTGCTGAACACAATTCTTGGCTCAGGCCTGCCCAGGCTTTCAGAGATCTGTGCAACCATCTGGCAACGAGCAAGGAAGGGTAGTCCACAAGGCCAAGGGCAGCTTCCAAAGCCTGAGTCCTCTCACTTCATTTAGGATCATTTTCCTGACTTCACCCTTCTAGACCACAGGAGCCCACCTTTTGGATGCCGGGCTGCATGGGATGTTTTTCACATCGCTGCCCAACTTGCCTTCCACCCAAGCCTTAGCCTCTGATGGGATCATGAATTTTCGGGTTATTGCATCTGGATGCTGGAGTAAATAGGTTCTGTTATCTGATTAATCAGGTATTGTGGCCCCTGCCGTCTGTCACTGGCTTTCCTGAGTTTATTAGAGGTTTCCCTCCAATCCCATTCCCAGTAGATGCTTTGCTTTTTCTCTTCTCTGAAAAATTTAACTTCCACATCTCTCACCTCCTTCCTGAAAATCTGTTGGTTTGAGTTATTTATTCACTCATTTCATAACACGGAACAAAGGCCAAAACATTTACATATAACAATTAACTTCATTCTCTTAACAAGTTTACTAGTTAGGTACTGTGATTATCTTCATTGAGCAGATGAGTAAACTGAGGCAGGGAGAGAGTGAGTGATGGAGCAGGAGTGGAACCCAGGTGGGCTGGCCCCAGAGCCTGTGCCTCTTCCCACCAGATTATGCTGCCCCCTCAAGCAGCTCTGTGAGGCTTCCAGACAGTGATTTGTGGAGACAAATGCTCTGGTGTTCCGACCCCAGCCCAGACTAGGCACCAGAAATAACTTGAGCATCTGGAAACTCAAGATTGAAACAATTAGTCAGAATGTAAAGAAATGGGTGTTTTTGCCTCTCGTAATTTGGTTTTATGAAGACCACTAAATGCAAACATTCTCCTGTTAATTACTGTCTTGAATTTGGTCTATAATTGAGAGAACTAGAGCTGGGGGGAGCGAAGAAACCCGCTGGAGTGGCAGGCCTGCCCAAGTCAGCATTCCCAGCCGCCTCGCGCACCCGATCTGTTAATTTTAGAAACTCCTCTAGCCTGGGCATATTATTAGCTTTATGTACAGAGGACCACATGGCCCTCAGTGGCTTCTCTATGCCACAGTTTTTTTTTTTTTTGGTTTGTTTTCTTTACCCCAAGAAATTAAATGGAAAGGAATGACGGTGGTGTGTACATAGGGGTGTTTGTGTACTGTGTGTGTGAATGGGGATACCTGGACGTGGCTTCTAATGAGTATATACAGCTGTCTTGGAGTGACATGTGTGCAGCTGGGCAGAGAGTGTACACAGCTCAAAAACACCCCATGGAAGCTGAAACCATTCTCCTCCAACACTCATTAGGGGATGTGTTCTGGGTGTATTCTTTGCAGGAGGGTGTGATGGCTGGGGTGTGGCCCCAGACCTTCACTGGGTTGTCCCAGTAGCCATAGGGATATTGGAGCTGAAGAAGGGGTGGTGGGTCCTGGAGAAGGGAAGAAGCAGACATTGACATCTGGGCACTAGCCTTAGAATGAGAAGTTTTGGCTCCTCTGAGGCCCTGACTTTCAAAGGAGCTGCTGGAAGCTGCCTTTGCAGAAGCCGCCGTTCCCTGAGCAGTTTGACTTGGGACAGCTGTGTTGCCTACCTTCAGTGAGGTAGGCCCTGCCCTCTCCTTGACTCACAGCATCATTTTGAGTCTGCCAAAGAAAACAGTTTGCTGTGAAGTAATTTCTTTGCAAACCTGGAACTCTTTGGGCAGGAACACTTCAGTTTGGGGGGGAGCCCTCTGAAAACTTGAAGAGAGGGAGCTCGTCTTTCTCCCATTTACTTCCTTCTGGCTTCTCTGCCGTGGAGAGTGAAAGATGGCTGAAAGGTTATTTATTCTGGAAGAAGGTATGCTTATTTCTGCCTGACTCATACCTTTATCTGTCTCTGTGTAATTGTCTGAATTAATAGTAGAGAGAAAGAGCTCTGCGGTGCAAGTTCTCAGTCTTGGGACCAGCCCTGGGATGGTTGATGCTTGGGTGGGATCTTTGGAATGATTGGCCTTATCTTCTAGATGCAGGGTCGGTGCCTATCTGTACTGTCTCCACACTCCAGGTAGAATGATCACCCAACAGAGATGAGTTGACTTTATACATCTTCACATTGCTCAGCTTCTCAGAGGCTTTGCCCTGAAGATCCCTTTGACCTCCCTGAGGAAGGACTTGCAGGTGCTTTGAGGCCTTAGGACAATGATGCTGGAAGCCCTGAGCTGGTCTCCCTTGATTGCACTGAGTGGTACCTCACTGGTGCCAGAAATCCCCCCATTGACACTTCCTGCTTTGATGCTACCCCTGCCCCATTCACACCTCCATGCTAGGATGCAAACCTCTGAGGGAGGAAGATGGTCAGACATTTTCTGGCTAAAGGGGACATCAGAGAGCCAGTGTGGGAGAAGGAGAAAATGGAGGCCCAGAGTGGGGAGAGCATGTGCTGTATATTACATAGATACCCGTGACAGAGACAAGGTTAGAACTGAGGCCTCTGCCTCCCAGGCACTGCTACACCTAGACTTTACCTGCTCTCTGATCTCTGTCTGATAACCTGTCTCAGGCCACAGCTAACCCTCAAGGAGGATGGCCTGGGCCTGGGGTGTTTGAGGTGAGCTGCTCTTGTCATTAAAACAACCTCTCACTTTCTTCTGGGTGTCATTGTTTGACTTGCTTTTCAATCTGACTCTCACTAGAAGGGTGGGGGTAAGTGGAGGAGGCTTGTTACCTGGGGCGCTCACCAAAGGGCAGGAAGGAGGTTATCCTTAGTGAATGAAGAGCCTCTTTCTGTGTCATTTCCTGTGTCTGCAATCCCCACATCTTGCTCTGGTATCCATGTGCCTGTCTCCCTGAGTCTTGGAACTTTCCAAGACTTCTCTCTCTCCCATCTGCTCTCCTCTGGAGCTTTCTCTCTTAGTCTTGTAACTTGTCCTCTCTCTCCTTCTGGTGATTGACATCCTGTGTCTCTGGGCAGATTTTACTGGGATCTGACCATGCTGCTGCTGATGGTGGGAAACCTGATCATCATTCCTGTTGGCATCACCTTCTTCAAGGATGAGAACACCACACCGTGGATCGTCTTCAACGTGGTATCAGACACATTCTTCCTGATCGATTTGGTCCTCAACTTCCGCACAGGGATTGTGGTGGAGGACAACACAGAGATCATTCTGGACCCGCAACGGATAAAGATGAAGTACCTAAAAAGCTGGTTTGTGGTGGATTTCATCTCCTCCATTCCTGTGGACTACATCTTCCTCATTGTGGAGACACGCATTGACTCAGAGGTCTACAAGACTGCTCGGGCCCTGCGAATCGTCCGATTCACCAAGATCCTCAGCCTCCTGCGCCTCTTGCGTCTCTCCCGCCTCATTCGATATATTCACCAGTGGGAAGAGGTGAGTGGTCAGACCAAATCTCTTGGGATAAAGGGGTATTTTCTCAGGTGAAGAGAAGAACCAGCAAGCAGGTAATCTCAGATAGTTGGATTGTACTGTCATATTATAGCAGGCATACCTGCTCCAAGAGGAGAAATATTGGTAATTTCTTGGTCTCTTGTCATGTGTTAGATACTACACAAAGCACTGTGCACACAGTATTCCATTGAAGTCCATAACAATCATAGAACATATAGGTACATGGAGACCCTTGTTTTTCACATGAAGAAACTGAGAGACAGAGATGAAATGATTTACACAAGGTCAAATGGTGAACCTGGAACATGGAGCTCACTGACTCCAGAGCCTGCCCTGATAACAACTGCACCATATTTGGGGGATTGTAAACGCTAAGTCTTTGGGGGCCTGGCAGGGAATGTGAATGGGTGAAAAGGGCCAGTTGGGGACAGTAATGAGGGTGATGGAATTGGGTTAACTGAGGAACATACCTTCCGTCTGTATTGAGCAGCCTCTTCTTGGTTCTAGCTAATTGCTGCCACATAGGAATAGGCCAAAGAGGTTGATAGATCTACAGCTATATCATGAGAAGCAGAAGTCTTGATTTTTATACAGATTTTGTTGGCAATTATCTTAGATTGAGTTTTTCTGGAGCAGACCCTCAGAGGAGGATTATGTGAAAGTGATTTTCATGGTAGCATTCCTAGGTAAACCTGATAAGGGAATGGAGAAGAGAGACAGGGAAAGGTCCAAAGCCAAGCAAGTGTGGGACATTTAGCAAAGTTCCATGGAGGGTGATTTTTGACCAATCTCATGAGGAGCTCTGCAGACAGTATACACCATACATTGATGTGGTCCCAATTACAGAAAAGAGTTGGAATGTTGCTATCCCCTTACTTGTCAGTCAGTGGTTTGGGGCCTCCCCACCCTCAGTGCAAGCAGCCAAAACAGTTTCCAGCAGTCTGGGAAAGGCCTCTGATACAGACACTGGAGGAGGTAAAGTGCCTGGGGAGCCTGGAGTCCTGTGCACAATCACTGTAAAGGGGCTGTGGGAATCGGCTACAGCAACTAAAGAAAAAATTGTAAATGAACTGTGTGGGCCAGCACCATTCTGAACAATCCTAACTCATCCATGAGCTGGAGCAGTTATCTGTAGGAGGAAAAAAGGAGGGCCACAGGGAAGAAGCATGGGTGACCTTGCTGGGCACTTCAGTCTGTGTTCACCACCCACCCATGTTACTTGTTTTGGCAGCAACAGCAGGCAGGCTAGCCTGGGGGTACCTGGAGTTGTGGGGAGTCGTGTTTTACGAGACACCCACATTGGCATGTGGAGTGGGCTATGCTGGGAAGGCTTCTTGCTGGGTACATTTCTTGCTGCTTCTCGCTGCTGGTCTCCTGACCTCCAGGACCCCTGCTTGATCAGATGGAAAGTTCCATGATAAGATTACAAAGTCCTCTACCCCCACCCCTAGCAGCAGCCTGGGCCCTGGCTGGCAGCATCCATGGCTGATGGTTGGGGCACCGGCAGATTCAGGTCAGAGGCGTCATGAACACATGTGTCGTGAAGAAGTGCCTACACCAGCTTGGCAGAATTGCTCTGTGGCAGAAATTCTCTTTGGCTTAGAAATTTACATTATTCCTGCTGACAAAGAGGAGCAATGACTTGCCCAAGGTCATGCAGCAGAACTTTGGCAGAACTGGGGCAGAATCGAGTTGGCTCTCTTGGCTCCCATCAGTGTGGCAGTCTCTGCCTGGTGTAATGGAATGCTCAGGGGCTTTGGAGCTAGAATGACACATTTGAGACCAAAGTTAAAATGCCAGCTCTGCATTCCTAGTTGTGTGACCTTGGTGCCACCTTGTCTCTCTGAGCTTCATTCTTTCTATCTGCACAATGGGTGTGAGAATTTCCTGATGGCTGTGGAGGCCTTCACATGAATCCTGGTGCAGAAGAGCCATTTAATAAATATTGCCCTGTTGTCTTGGTAATATTTCATTGTTTCCTCACACATAGCTGGAAAGGTAGACAGGGCAAAACTTATCACCCCTATTTTCCAGAGAGGAAATTGAAGATGAGAAGGGTCAGTTGCCCCAGGGGTGGTATTTTTGACCAAGACTTCTGTTCCCTGATTCCATGACTTTGACTCCATTAATATTCTCTCTGATGGCTGGGTACATCCCCAATGGGTGATGGACTCCATTCAGTCCAGCAGGTCTACCTGTGCTCTGTCCTGGGTGGGACAGTGGGGACCAGAGGAGTAGGGACGACTCCCAACTGAGATCAGAAAGGGGAAAAGTGTGGTGGGTGATGGGGTGGAGAGCAGGGAAGAGTTTGTGTCAGGTTGATTTGTGTTACCTGTGGGACATCTAGGTCCAGAGAGATGTTACCATGTGGGTCTGAGCTCAGGACTGAGAAGGGACAATTCCTATAGTGGTCGGTGTCTGTGAAGGAAGGTTAGAGGCATATTTCGCAGGATGCCCTGAGAGGCTTATCTCCTGGTTTCTGTACCAGGTAGAAATGGCTCCCTCAGAACCTGAGAAACCCTTCAACTTCTATTGTTCTTGGACTCGGAATTAGACCATCATCAAAGCAGAGATGTGTTGGCTCCCTCCCTTCTCTGGCACTGGTTTTGGTCTCCAGACTCCAGCACTCTGGGGGCTGATTTGCTCCCCACTTAGGGCTGGGGCTCTAGTGGCCATGCTATTTGGTGGGAGTTGGCAGAGTTGCTGGCTGCCGGGCCAGGAGAATCTTGGGACAGAGCTAAGCTCTTCTTTACTGTCCCTACGCTGTACATTCTGGGGCTCAGGCCCAGGGTTACCGTCCCCATTGTTCCTCTGGCCTGGCTATCCTCTGGACTCCCCAGAATTGATCTGGCAAGCTCCAGTCCCCACCTCTCCTTAGGGGAGGTAGAAGGCCCAGGAGGCCTTAGGTCAAGTCTCTGAACTGTACATCACTATCCAATCTCATGGGGCAGGAAGGGAGATCCCAGGAGGCCAGATAAATGACTCTCCACTCCCTCCACATATGCCCTTATCTCTCCTACCAGCTGGGGAGGAAATTGCTTTGAGCTAGTTTCTGCCAGGCACACAGCCCAGCCAAGGGCTCCACTCAACCCCTGGGATTGGATTGGGGTTTCCCAGCTGGCCTCGGCATCCTGTCTCCAGGTCCTTTCCAACCCGTCCCAGCCCTAGGACTTCTCCCAGCCTTAGTTTGTCCTGGAACAGCAGTATGAAGACCCTTTGAGGCCTGGGGTCTATAGGAGAGCTGGGGAGGGAAGTATATAGTTTATATTAAGTATATATCTCCTCTTCAAGTCCTTATTTGAATCTCTTTCCTTCTTTGGGTCTCAGTTTCCCCAACTGTCAGGGAAGTGCTGGTGTCTGAGGCTATGGCTCCCTGAGGCTTAGTCCCCAGCTCGCATTTCTCTTGGTAAAAATGGTGTTAGCTGATCCTGAGCACATGGTTGTGGCTGATGGGGCCTAAAGGAGGAAGCTCCAGGGGCAGGGGCCATGGGGAGTCTGCTTCTCCCAGACTGGGAAAGCTTTCCAAAGATGAAGCTGTGGAGTGGTGAGGCTCCTGACCCTCAGGTTCAGCTATCTTCCTGAGCTAGTCCCAGCGCTACAGCCCAGGAGATTTCCCAAGTGTTGGTGGCAGGAGGATGGAGTGTTCAGGGCAGGTGCAAGCCACCCTCACAGGGGATGCAGCCTCTGCCTCCATCCTAGGCGATCTAGGTCAGCAGCCTCCTTCCCAAGCCTCTCCCAGCCAGCCTTTTCCCTCCCTCTGAGGTGTGAGCTTGTTACAGGCATGCAGGCTATTGTTAGAAACCTTGGTTGCCCCCCTTCAGATGTTCCCCTGCAGGGCCCAGCACTCCAGTGACCCATCCCAGAAGCCTCTTCTCTCCCTCAGCAACCTAGAACGGCAGAAAGAGGGCTGTAGGCTGTGTGGCCTCTGACAAGTCCCTCCCTCTGAGGGCCTTGAGTTCTCCATCTCTCTGACTTGAGTGGTAGGGGATAACACAGAGGAGTGGTCATGGGAGCCGGAGATGGCCCACTCTGCTGGCCCTAGCAAGGGACCCAGTGTGACTCTCAGTCCAGGTACTACAGGGTGTGCTCAGGATACCCTTGCCTGGCCACCCTCTCAGGCTTGGATTGCTGCCCTCCATGCAGGAACACTTGTTCCTGAGACCTAGGTAGACGTGTGTTCTTTTCCTTAAAGAGCAAATGAGTCTCTGGGAGGGAACTCAATCAGGTCCCAAGAAGAGATCTTGATGGAAACTCATGGCAACCTGAATGGTGATTTCTGGGGTCCCCCAGGACTGAGAAAGCAACTCTGTTTGAAGGGCTGAGAAAGAGGGTGAAAGAAAATAACTAACAGAGTACCTACTATGCAGAGTAGCACTGTGTACCACCCGGGGACATTATTACACCTGGCCCCCAAGACAGCCCTGAGAACTGACACTTACTGACCCATTCCACAGATAATGAGGCTCTGAGGGGAAAGACACTTGCCCAAGGTGAAAGACATGTTGCGATGTCCTGCACTGCAGATGACAAACTGCAGGAGTGGGAGTGAGCCATGCCAGGTGGGCAAAGTGTGAGCTGCCCAGACCTTGCCTGGCAAGGCCTGTGGTAGCCTGGAAATGAAGGTGCTCAACCCCCACAGTCAAAACCAACATCATAAAAGGGGGTTTTAATGAAAATAAAGAGCAAGGCAAATATTTGCACAGTACAGCTGAGTGGCACGTGGGCTGTGGCCCTAGCCCATGGGACATACGAGTATCAGGCAGCTTCTCCCAGCAACATCCTGTCTTGTTCTCAGCAACCAAATCGTGGGACTAGTGCTGGGGTGGGTGAGTATACTCCTAGCCTGAATGGATGTGCCCCCGACCCACAATTCCCAGGAGGCTCAACTCTGACCTTGATGGTACGCTGGCTTTGCAGTGTTTGGGAACCAGTTGCAGTGTCCTCCCCCACCCCACAGCCTCCCCACATCTGACTCCTCCTTCCTTCCCACCAGGCACTGCCACCACATGCTCTGTGTGGGACGCACCAGTCTACCCTTTTTTATTTCCACTGTATACACTGGCGGGAGCCCTGTTCACCACCAGCCCCATCACTGTCATTGTCACCTTCACCTTCGTCATTAAGCACTTCTCAGTTCCTGAGACCCTGCCACGTGCTCTGTGGCATTTTCATTGCTGAGATCACAATAGGGCAAAATTAGACAAAGACTTGATCTTGGAAGGTTAGTTATGAAGAAAAGAAAAACATAAGTGATGCGAAAGAGGGCCCTGCGTGAACACATGCCAACCCCGATGCCTTAGGACCCAGAGCGATTTATAGAAAGGAGCAGTATGTATGGACTGTGACAGGCTGGGGCACTTTGTAGACATGGCTGGAGGCTTCCTGTAGCTCCTCTATGTCCCCTTCATTCATTTAAGCATACATGCATATATTCAGACAATCAGCAGATGTTTCTCATGCCCCTGTGCTAAGCATGGAGGAATGCAGAAGTGAAAAATACAGAAAAGAGCCCTGCCTTGTGGAGCTGTATGACAGTAAGTAAATGTCACTTTAGATAGTGAGAATTCCACGGAGGAAATAAATGAGGGCAAAGAGTCATAATGAGGGTGGGAGGTGAGGGCCATTGGCTACTTCACATAGAGGGGTCAGGAAGGCCTCTCCAGGGAAGCAGTCAAGACAGGAGGATGAGGAGGAGCTGGAGGAAAGACGATGGACTAGCAAGCCCCATACTGAGCCCCGAGGCTGGCCCATTCAAGGACCTGAGGGAAGGCCAGTGTGGCAGAAGGTGGAAGGCCTTGGGCTGAGGGTGGGATGTGGGTTAGGCAGATAGTCAGGGGCCAGGACACTGAGGCCACAGTTAGCAGAGAGAGTGCACTCTGAGGTGCAAAGGGAAGTCACTGGAAGTTTTGAAGTGGAAGAGTGACAAGATCTGATTGAGGTCTCGAAGAGCTCTGTTTCTTGGTTGAGAATGGATTAGAGGTTCAGGGAGCCTCATCGGGAGGTTGGGGCAGTCATCTGGAGTGTTTGGAATAGGGTCTTACTGGGATTGCAGTAAAGTGTATTATTTGAGGATGTCTTCATGGGAAGTGGGGCTCAAAGGAACTAGATTGGTGTTGGATTGGGTATGGGGCTGGGGTGAGAGAATGGGAGGAATCAGGCTGGCTGTTGGGTTTTTGTTGCTCAGCTACATGAAGAGTGATGCCAGTTGTGAGCTGGGAGGAACAGTTTGGGATGGATCCATATGGAGATAGACAAGGGAGACAGCTGAACAGATGAGCCCATCTGTCACTCTTGTCTACCTGTGTGTCTTGGGCATAACAGAAACAAGGAAATGGGATATCTCAGGGATTGGAGAGAGAACAACAGGAAGGCCTCAGGTAAGGAAGATCATCATTCCTTGTGGTGGAGGCAGAACAGCAGCATCCTGGGGATCCCCTTATCCAGTGAGGCTCCCTACAGGGTTTGCATAGAGATACCCCAGACTGATACCCTCCACAGCCAGGGAAATCCTCAGCTATGTCTGTGTCTGTGTCTGTGGCTGCAGGACCTGTGGGCAGCTGTGCAGGACAGCAACACCTGGAAGGGGGTTGCTGAGAGCCTGGCCAGTCTGCTGCGTAGCCCACTGCACCCTGCGTATCTGTCTCTCATGCTGAGTTCCTACCCACTCCTTCTCATGTTGCTCTCCTGGGTGTGACTGACTTCCCAAAACAACACTCTGAGCTCTGAGTGAGCAGGGGCACTTTCTTCCCTGCCCCCCACAGGGAGGGAGAGTTATTGGGTACTGACACAGGCTGACCTTTTGCAGATTGTGGAGTAGATGTTTGGGTCATTCCGAGGGTACTGCCCTGAGACCCAGGGAAGAAGGGCCCTGTTGGGCTCATAGTCTGGGGGCTCTCTGAAACTCTTTCTAGATCAGACTGGGGTACCTGGGACCTAGCATTCCTGACACAAACAGCCAGAAGTCTGCTTCCTGGGCCTGTGTAGGCCCCTACTCAGGTCCCTGCTCATGTACACTCCCCTGACCCTTCACAGGAAGCTGTCGGTAGTGGTGGCATGGATGGAGCTTGGTTGTGGCCTGAGGTGCCTCGCTGTGGAACAGAGTCAGAGAAGACAGGTGGCCCATGTTCTGGTGTGGTTTTCTGAAGTTCTAGTTTAGAGCTGGGCCCTCCAGGGTGTTATGATGGTGTATTCTGTCAAGGTAGGACCACAGAATGTTTCCTTTAACAGTTTTTCAGCCTGATTTACAACTTGAAATACGTAAGCTTGTAGTTTGTAGAACAATTTGTCCCCTTGTCTAGACACTCCAGTATCAGGGGTAGGCATATATCTATGGAGCTAGGCATATAGCTCAGGAGCTAGGTACTCAGTCCAGTGAGTCCAAGAGGTTGCTGTCCTGCCCCCTGCTGACCACTGTCTCTGCAGCCCGTGTCATTGGCTCTCAACCGAGAGTTGAAATATCTAGGTTCTGTCTCTTTGGGCCTCAGTTTCCCCTTCTGAAATGGATTTCAACTAAGTCTCTGTGACATTCGACAGTCCATGATTTTGACCTAATGCCTCTGTCTAAGAGGGGTGTCTCTGCCTGGGAACAGTATGGAGGGACCAGAACTGGATGGCTGGAGGCACCCCTACAAAGTCTCCCAGGCCAGAAGCAAGGCTAGAACTTCCACAGACCTTCCTCAAGATGTCTCTTCACCTCTCCATCCCCTGACTACCCTGTCACCACGACTTCTGCCATGCATGAGTCCCTATCATATACTAGTGTGGCACTTTTGGGAGGATGAAGGTGAGTCAGGGATGAATCCCCACTTGGATCCTGCCCTGCCACACTACAGCCTCCCACTCGGTACTACCAGTGGAAAAGGGCAGGTGCAGTGGGCTGGGCTTGTGAGCGTGCTTCTCATACTTCTTCACTGAAGTATAAGGAAACGCATATTGCTAATACATATTAACTAATCATAAAGGTTAATTATTAATAACAACTTATCAGTTCATAATGGCTTATAATTTATTGAATACTTCTATACTCAGTACTAAGTACTTTATATGTATAATTTAATCCTTTTGACAACTCACTCAGTTAAGGATTTTATCATCATTTTGCAGATGACAAAATATGATCAGAGAGGTTTGGGGACGTTCTCAAGGTCATGTAGCTAGGAGTTGTATCAGAACTGGGACTAGGATCATCTGTCTGAACATGGAACCTGTGGGCCTGTGCAGCTCTATCTACAGTTCCATGGCTGGCTTTGGCAGAGCCCACTGCTCCTGGGTGGATTCTGAGAGTTCAATGACAGATTTAGGAAAACATCACGCCCTGAGCTTGATTCCAGACCATGGTCCCTAAGGAACCCTCAGGATGACAGGCCAGAGAACTCTGGTGTATCAATGCCCTAGCCAAGCTGAAGAGGTGGGCTGCAAGGGGCTCCAGGGAGCCTCTTCCCACATGTCTTGGATGGTTGCACCTCCTGTGGGAGGTGCCCGTATCTGCATGGATGCCCAGAGCATCCCTCTAAGACCCACACCTGCAGCGTGCCTCTTCTAGTGCCCTCCCTCCCTGGCCCCAGCCTGATCTCCTGCTGAGCAGGTGCTCTGCATTGAAAGTGGAGACAGTGCCCACAGCTGCTCAGGATCTGGCCAGGAGGGGGTCACCACTCCTCCTGTCCTCTCACCTAACTCTGCCAACATCTCCACCTCTGCTGGCAGATCTTCCACATGACCTACGACCTGGCCAGCGCCGTGGTGCGCATTGTGAACCTCATCGGCATGATGCTCCTGCTCTGCCACTGGGACGGCTGCCTGCAGTTCCTGGTGCCCATGCTGCAGGACTTTCCCGACGACTGCTGGGTGTCCATCAACCACATGGTGGTGAGTGCACCCAGGAGGCCCTCGCTCTGGGCTGGGGGTTGGGGGTTCCTTCTCCAGAGGTCCAAATGATAGAGAGGATTGACAGCTCAGAACTCCTGAATCCCGGCACGTGACTGCCCGAAGGGCACATGTCTGTATTCATTCCAGGCCGAGCTTTGCCCAGTCCAGGAATCCGCTCCCAGGGCTCTCGGCTGAGGGCTGTTACCACCACCTTCTTATAGTCTCACCTGTTGCGGGGAGCCCTGATATTTGGCCTAATTTTACCCAAGGAGACTAAACCTAGGTGACCTCCTGTTCTATCAGTGTGACAAAGCTGGGCTGAAGGTTCCCACCCTCTTACTTCTGGCCCCTAGAAGCTGAGCCCGGGAAAACAGAAGCCTGCAAGGGCATTATTTGTGTCACACATGTACCACCAGATTTTACAGTGTGACTTTCTGCTCCAGGGGCAGAGCTGGGCTGTCACCGTTCCCCAATGGATACATGGGTGGCATCTTGAGCACAGAGGGCAGAGAGGACAGAGCCTGCCCCCTCCTCTAGCCTTGTGGGTGGGTGAGAGAAGTTGGACTTGGGGCCTTGGAAGCCCTAGGGGAGAGTCCCCCAGCCCTGCTGTGCATGGGAAGGGCTCCTGCAGGGCGGGGACCCGTACCTGTGAGCCCTTCTCTGGCTCTGCTGAGCTCCTGCTTCCCTATACTCCCTCCCAGATTGTTTGGTTTGGCCTGAAAGCAGATCCCCAGGGCACCAGTGGAGGAAAAATTGGCTTTGAAAGAGGTGAAAGAGACCCTGAGGCATCTTTCAGCATCAAATAGGCCTTTACAAAACAGCTTTTTGATGAGCTAAGTGTAAATGAATTGGCCATATGGGTTGAATTTCCTGGTCCCCAGAGGCTCAGCAGTGAAGGCCAGCCAGAAGCCCAGACTAGAGCACCTAGGGGCTGCCCTTGTTCCCCAAGGCAGGTGGGGGGTGGATGACACATGACACAGGACACCCTTCTACCTCTGGAGACCAACTCTGTCCATCCTGCCCTCATCTGGATTGAGCCCCCAGGCCCCAGGAACAAGCCTGACTCCGTCTAGGATGGTCTGCATGACTGGAACATGGAGGCTCTGTGGCTCTATGCTTTACTTCTTTCAGGGACTTGGGACAGCCTGGTGCCTGCAGAAGTGCTTAGAGCTCTGTGAGTTGTGTCCTGGGTGGGTTTCTGCGTTGTTACTAACATCTCCACCTTGTGAGAGAGACACTGCGAGAGGGCTGTGGCTGGGGTTCTGGCAGCCCCCTTGTTTGGGGCAGGTTCCTCTGTGTGGAGACAAGCCCACACATGCACTAAATTTGTGATGGTCCCTCAGAGCCCAGTGTTCCCCCACCGAGCCTTCCCTGAGAAACTGACTGGCTTTGGAGACAAAAATAGCCAGGAGGGTTGGGGCTGCAGCTCAGTGGCAGAGTGCTTGCCTATCATGTGTGAGACACTGGGTTCGATCCTCAGCACCACTAAAGATAAATAAAATAAAGGTCCATCAATGACTTAAAAAAAAAATAGCCAGGAGCCTCGCTCCCTGCTTCCCTCCTCCTGCCCCACACACCGTGTTCCAGAGAGTCCACCTTTGGGGGCGGTGGGAAGAGAACTGGTGGCCGCTGCCCTGTGGGTACTGGCCGGTGTTCTGTTGGAAGCCAGTTAGCTCGGCAGCTTTAATTTCTGCTCACCCAAAAGGAGGACAGTCTTCTAGAGCCATCCCCCCCGGGGAAAGCATATCGGTTTTATAATTGAGGTCAGTGGGGAAATGGGCTTCACTTGACAGCTGTTTAGGGGTGGGGGATGGAGTTATTTCAGCAAGGGAAGGACAGCAGGGTGGCTCAGCCTGGAGCCTGTTGCTACTCAACCAGGAGGCTCCAGGGCAACCCTCAGGGCTGAGGTCAGACCAAGGCTAGGCCAGCTCCCAGCCCTTTGATGGGTCTTCCAGTCTGACCCCTGCCCTCCACTGGAAGAGGATGGCCTAAACGGAGGATCCACTGACACCATAGTCCTGGCCTCTCTGCCACTCACCTAAAGCCTTCGTCTGTCAGCAAGATGGGAGCCTGGGGCTCAGCCACTGGGGAGGAGTTAGGTGGAGGGAGACAAGGCAGCAGGGAATGTCCTAGGTGCCAGTGAGATGGGCCTTCCCCCTCACTGGTCCACGCCCATTTATGTCTGTCCACAGAACAACTCGTGGGGGAAGCAGTACTCATATGCCCTCTTCAAGGCCATGAGCCACATGCTGTGCATTGGATATGGACGGCAGGCGCCCGTGGGCATGTCTGACGTCTGGCTCACCATGCTCAGCATGATTGTGGGTGCCACCTGCTACGCCATGTTCATCGGCCACGCCACTGCTCTCATCCAGTCCCTGGACTCCTCCCGGCGCCAGTACCAGGAGAAGGTAAGTTGGAGAGCCACGTCCACCCAGGGCTCTCTCAGGAGGACCTGCCCACTGGTCCTTTGTATGAGGGAGCACATGTGGCCAGCCCCCAAATGTCTAGTGTGAGAGACAGAGCAGGGGTCACCTCCTGAATGAGAACTGCTTCACTCCCTGGATTTAAACTTATAAGTGTCTCACTATCTGTACCTTCCATGCCTTCCCTGTCCTGTAGCTGGGGGCCTGTCTGTCTGCACTGAGGCATCAGCGCTCTGGGTGTTGTTGAATCCAGTGGGTCTTTTGGGGCCTCATCTCGCTTGGCCTCCTGGTATTTGCAGACTCCTGCTCCTTCTTGGCCTTGCTTGGTTTCCATGACTGCGCGCTCTTGGCTTCCTCCTATCTCTCTGACCAGTCCTACTTGCTTGCCTTTGCTGGCTTCTCTTCTCAGCCGTCACATGGTGGCTGGGCCCTAAGCTCTTTGATTCTCTGCCTCAGTTCCTAGGTGTTCCCGTTCGAGCACCCCCACCCCCGCGTGCTCTGTGCCCATCAGTGGGGCCCAGTTATATAATCAGCTCTACCTCATTGTCAGCCCTGGAGTGTTCATTGGATGCCTCCCTGGATACCTCGACCTCATCACATCCAAAATCAGAACAACCTCCCCGGCCCCCTCCACTCCGAGCGGCCACTCTTCCCATATGTGTTCTCTATTAATGGACACGAGGAGCACAGATGCCCAGCCAGAAACCAGGAGCCATGCTTGCCATCTCTGTCACTAACACCCACCTCAAAGCTGTGTCTCCCTTCTCTTCCTCCCAGCCGGCCTCTGTCCACCCTCACTGCCAGCTTCTGCCTCTCCCCAGGTCACCACAGCAGCTTCAACCACAGCAGCTGAGCTGTGGCCTGGAGTCTGGTGGCCTTGGGTCTCCCCGAGCTTCTTCACTGATGAGTTCTAGGAGCATGGGCAGGTTACCTCTCATCGGGTTAAGCCCTGACCTTTATCACCTGATTGGTGGACTCCGACTGTATGATGGGAGAGTATGTGGAGTGCTGTCCTAGGGTTTGTGAGGAGTAATGCAAGTCAAACCCGCAGCACCGCATTCGCACAGAGCACAGAGCAGGCCATTCAATATTCATTAGCTAAGCAGGCTCCTCTCTGCCCTCTGTTCTACTCATCACACGGTATTTTAAAAATATATCAGTCTGATTGTATTGTTCCTCTGACTGCTGTCTCCTGGTGGGGTGACCGTCAGATGGCAGCCATTCAGATGTGGAGGCCCAGGTCCTGTGACACTAAGAGGAGAGCTTGGGAGAGCCTGCAGAGCTGGGGTGGGTAGGAGAGCTCACTCCGGGGAGGCAGAAGAAGGTGGAAGAGAATTCTAGGTCAGTCGTCAGGGTGCGCATGAGCAAAGGTGAGTGGCAGGATGGTAAAGAAATCGGTCTGGTTAGAACAGAGGGTTCTGGGTTGAGAATTCGTGGGCTAGGGAGGGGAGGCACAACAGGAATCAGGTGATAAAGGTCAGGGCTTAACCCAGGTCCAGTTAAGGATTAATCTCAGGCCACCATCAGGGCCTAGCCTGTGACCAGGGTTGGGCTCAGTATGTGACAACGTCAGGCTCGATGTGTGGTTAGGGTTGGAACTCAGTCTGAGATGAGGTTGGAAGTTCTTTCTGGGACCAGAATCAGGGATTGATTTAGAAAATGCATCAGGGTTTATAAGTAGGGCCAGTGTCAAGCTGCATTGTGACTTCCCATTTGAGACTTTTTCCTAGGCTAATAGCTCTCTGAGTTTTTCTGATTCACCCATGAATCTCTCTTAAATGTCTTCCCTGCCCACTATCCCCCTGGATCACTTCACCAACCTTTAGTTTCCTGCCCACTGTTCCCTCCTCTCTGTTCACTGTAGGGGGAGTCTCTACAACACAGCTCCAAAAGTGCCAGCTGCCTGTGCCCCCACAGCCAGACAGGAAGTCACTCCCCCACTGGGGCTTTGTACAACTTAGAGAGACATCTTCGGGCAGGTTGACTGGAAGAGCTTGGAGAACATCACCCCTTGGTCTTCAGTTGCCCATTGATATCTCTGTGGAACACTAATATTTGAGAACCGGCTCCCCTTTTCTGATTGTTCCTTGGGCTGCTGGGACTAACCTTCCTTCCCAGGTGGGAAAAATCTGTGTTAGTGCCTAATCAATACCTCCTGTCTTCTACTCTTGAGGACTCCACCCTCCACCCAAAATGCAGGGGCAGTTGGAGCAAGGTTCACCTGGCACTTCCAGGAGGGGCAGGATCATTCCTTATTTGGTTCAAGCCCCAGGGACTTAGGTTCACAAAGCTCTTGCACCTGAACTTCTGTTTGAAGGTCCTGCTCCACCTTGTGTTTCCCTTGGGCTGGAGCTACTGAGGCCACCATTACAGACATACCCTAAAAAGGGCCAGGCCTCCTTGCCTCTGCCTCTAACCCTTCTGACCTGCTGCAGTCCTGTCCTGATGACTGTGCCCATTTGTCACTACTGGCAGGAGACAGCTCCTCCTCTTCCAGAGTCAGTGTCTTGTTTGTACTGTAGAAATGACAGACATTCAGAAGAAACTTGATTACCCTTCTGGGCAGTTGGTATCCTGTAACTGGACGTTGGACAGTCCCTGTCCCCCCCCCCCCGCCCCTTCTCCACATCTCTATAGTATGGAACACAAGAACAGACACCAAGGGAGCCCCTTCTCCCATGCCCCATGCACTCCAAGAGATGGAGTCAGGGCCATTGTTTTGGGCACAAGCATAGTCATACCCACACCAAGGACATTTAATCTCAAGGAACCAGGGTTGACCAGAAAAGCCCCCAGGATTAGAGCCCGGCTCTGGTCATCAGCTGGGGGTGCCTGGAGGTGACACCCATCTCTTTCCCCCATCCTCAGTATAAGCAGGTGGAGCAGTACATGTCCTTCCACAAGCTCCCGCCCGACACCCGGCAGCGCATCCATGACTACTATGAGCACCGCTACCAGGGCAAGATGTTCGATGAAGAGAGCATCCTGGGCGAGCTGAGTGAGCCACTGCGGGAGGTGAGCTTGCAGGTGGCCTGGGCAGTGGGGGGAGCCCTGCCTTGCTGGCAGGCATCGCCCCTCACCTCCTTCTTCCTGTGTCCCAATCTGTGCAGGAGATCATCAACTTTAACTGCCGGAAACTGGTAGCCTCTATGCCACTGTTTGCCAACGCAGACCCCAACTTTGTGACCTCCATGCTGACCAAGCTCCGCTTTGAGGTCTTCCAGCCAGGGGATTACATCATCCGTGAGGGCACCATTGGCAAGAAGATGTACTTCATCCAGCATGGCGTGGTCAGTGTGCTCACCAAGGGCAACAAGGAGACCAAGCTGGCTGATGGCTCCTATTTTGGAGGTGAGGTGTCCACGGGGGTCTGGGGTAGCAGGGGCCACTAGGGAATAGGCTGGAGAGACTCTGGAGGACAGAGGCACTGTCATGGCCTCAGCCTGGAGGTGGGTGTCTCTGAACCCAGTATAGAGGTGTCTTAGTCCATTTGGGCTGACAAAGCACTACAACCTGGTGGCTTAAGAAGAACAGAAATTTATTTCTTACAGCTCCAGAAGCTGGAGTGTGAGGCCAGGGTGCTAGCATGGTCAGGTTTTGGTAAGGGGCCTCTTCCTGGTTGCAGACTGCTGCCATTTCTACTTCCTCACAGGGTGGAAAGAGTGTACTCTCTCTCTCTCTGGCTTCTTATAAAAACATCAGTACCATTTATGAGGACTCCTCTCTCATGACCTGGTCACTTCCAAAGCCCCACCTCCAGATACCATCACATTGAGATTAGGGTTTCAGCCTGGGGATTGTGGGATGACACAGATGATCAGCCCTTGCAGGGGATGATCCCAGAGATGGTAAACAATCCCACATCCATTTGGTGGAGGGACTGTCATCCAGTTATGATCACAGCCTGGGGTGGGGTCTTGTGAGCCTGTGAGGCTTCTGCACCAAGCAGTGGGGGACCAAAGTCAGAGCAGGGCAGCCCCCACCCCCACCATGGCCTGGGAGGCTGTGCACACCCCACCCTGATTCCTGATATCCTGGCAGAGATCTGCTTGCTGACCCGGGGCCGGCGTACAGCCAGTGTGAGGGCCGACACCTACTGCCGCCTCTACTCACTGAGTGTGGACAACTTCAATGAGGTGCTGGAGGAGTACCCCATGATGCGGAGGGCCTTCGAGACTGTGGCGTTGGACCGCTTGGACCGTATTGGTGAGGGGACGGGCAGGAGGGTGGGAGGGCAGGAGGGTGGGAGGGCAGGTTCCCTCCTGCAACCTTGCCACCTTTCTGCTCTGGCCTGAGCGCTTGCTCTTGCACTATGCCCTAGGCAAGAAGAACTCCATCCTCCTGCACAAGGTCCAGCATGACCTCAACTCGGGCGTCTTCAACTACCAGGAGAATGAGATCATCCAGCAGATCGTGCAACATGACCGTGAAATGGCCCACTGTGCGCACCGTGTCCAGGCCGGCGCCTCTGCCACCCCAACCCCCACGCCTGTCATCTGGACCCCGCTGATCCAGGCGCCACTGCAGGCTGCCGCTGCCACCACTTCTGTGGCCATAGCTCTCACCCACCACCCTCGCCTGCCTGCTGCCATCTTCCGTCCTCCCCCAGGACCCGGGCTGGGCAACCTCGGGGCTGGGCAGACGCCAAGGCACCTGAAGCGCCTGCAGTCCCTGATCCCTTCTGCTCTGGGCTCCGCCTCACCTGCCAGCAGCCCATCCCAGGTGGACACGCCATCTTCATCTTCCTTCCACATCCAACAGCTGGCTGGATTCTCTGCACCCGCTGGACTGAGCCCTCTCCTGCCCTCGTCCAGCTCGTCCCCTCCGCCAGGGGCCTGTGGCTCCCCACCAGCCCCCACACCATCCACTGCTGCTGCCGCCTCCACCACGGCCGGGTTTGGCCACTTCCACAAGGCTCTGGGTGGCTCCCTGTCTTCGTCCGACTCCCCGCTGCTCACCCCACTGCAGTCAGGGGCCCGTTCCCCGCAAGCTGCCCAGCCACCACCCCCACTGCCGGGGGCCCGGGGAGGCCTGGGACTCCTGGAGCACTTCCTGCCTCCTCCTCCCTCATCCAGGTCCCCGTCATCTAGCCCTGGGCAGCTGGGCCAGCCTCCCGGGGATTTGTCCCCAGGTCTGGCCACTGGCCCACCAAGTACACCAGAGACACCCCCACGGCAGCCCGAGAGGCCATCTTTCATGGCAGGGGCCTCTGGAGGGGCTTCCCCTGTAGCCTTTACCCCCCGAGGAGGTCTTAGCCCCCCTGGCCAGAGCCCAGGCCCCCCAAGAACTTTCCCAAGTGCCCCACCCCGGGCCTCTGGCTCCCATGGTTCCCTGCTGCTGCCACCCGCCTCCAGTCCCCCACCACCCCAGGTTCCTCAGCGCAGGGGCACACCACCCCTCACCCCAGGCCGCCTCACCCAGGACCTCAAGCTTATCTCAGCCTCTCAGCCAGCCCTCCCCCAGGATGGGGCACAGACTCTCCGCAGAGCGTCCCCGCACTCCTCAGGGGAGTCTGTGGCTGCCTTCCCGCTCTTCCCCAGGGCCGGGGGCAGCAGCGGGGGAAGCGGAAGCAGTGGAGGCCTTGGTCCTCCTGGGAGGCCACATGGTGCCGTCCCTGGCCAGCATGTCACTCTGCCTCGGAAGACATCCTCAGGTTCTTTGCCACCCCCTCTTTCATTGTTTGGGGCAAGAGCCACCTCTTCTGGGGGCCCCCCTCTGACTGCTGCACCCCAGAGGGAACCTGGGGCCAGGTCTGAGCCTGTGCGCTCCAAACTGCCATCTAATCTATGAGCCGGGCCCCTCCCTCCCTCTCTTTTTTTCCTCCCTTCTTTTCTTCCTTCAGGTTTAACTGTGATTAGGAGATATACCAATAACAATAATAATTATCATTTAAAAAAAATCCCCCACACACACCCCAGAAAAACAAAAGACAGCAGAAAATAACCAGGTATTCTTAGAGCTATAGATTTTTGGTCACTTGCTTTTATAGACTATTTTAATACTCAGCACTAGAGGGAATGAGGGAGGGAGGGGGAGGGAGCGGGAGGGGAGCAGGCAAGGCCCAAAGGCAAAAGCCAGAGGAAGGCAGGTGGGTTCTCTGGGGTGGGGCAGGGATGGCGGTGACCCATGTCTGGGGTTCCTAGAGCAGACCTGTCATTGTACTCATTTTAGAACAAGAGCTACCATCAGCCCCTTGGCTGTGAACTTGGAGCCCCACTCTGTTGGGGGTCGTCATATTCCCCCAGGAAGGGGCTGTCCTTGGGTGTGTTCCTGGGGAGGCTCAGACACTTGAGTCCTTGGGACAAATCGGGGCCGGGGCCCCAAGGGCCTTGCATTTTTTTCTACTGTTATCGTAGCAAGATATGTATATGAATATGTATATGTATATGTATGTAAGATGTGTATATGTATAGCTATGTAGCGCTCTGTAGAGCCATGTAGATAGCCACTCACATGTGTGCACACATGTGTGCAATCTAGTTTAACCCTATGTTGCCAGGACACCCAGGTCACCTTACATCCAGCAATCCGCCGTGGCCCGCAGGCTGGGCACCGCGGGGTCTGGGGATGTACTCTCTCCAGTCCTCAGGGAAGAGGACCCCCAGGACCTCGCAGCAGACCCTTCTTTCCCCATCTCTGGGCCCAAATCCAGTCCTAGCCTGACCTCTCACCACTGGGAAGCAGAAGACTTGGGGCTGAACCTCGCCCTTCCCAGGGCCTCAAGCACACCGTCACCTCCGTGGCCCTCAGTGTTCCCAGCTAAACAAGGGAGGTGAGGGAACTTCTGTTTATTGAGTCTGCTCTGTGCCAAGCACTGGTTTTGCACTTTACACACATTAACTCCTTCAGTCTCACAAAGACCGTGAGGTGGTACTTTGATTCTCCCCATTTCACAGATGAGGAAAATGAGTTCTTGGTAATTTTTCCAGAATCATGTAAGCAGGAGCAGCAGGGCTGGGACTAATGAGATGTAGATCTGTGCCCACCCAAGGCCAGAGCCTATCAGAAAAGTGTGTTGTGAGGGGATGAGTTAGATGGCCCCAAGCCTGGTGCACAGGGAAGAGATCAGAGTCTGGCCATAATCAGGCTTGGGTTCTAATAGTAGCCCTGCCACTTAGCTTTGGGACCTTGGGCAAATTATCTGACCTTTCTGAATCTGTTACCTCATTTGTAAAATGAGAATGATTATGGTACTGCCTCACAAGGATCTATGAGAACCAGATAAGAAAAAGAACATACGTGAAATGCCCAGCCCAGCGCCTGGCATACAGCATAGTAGGTGCTCAATAAATCACGTTTCTTCTGCCCCCTCCTCATGTGCCCAGCCCATTACTCCAGCGAGCTGTGGTGAGAACCCAGAGAGCTTTGCCTGAGGACTCCAAATCTTAAAATCTCAGGACTCAGGAGGTGGCCAAGGGAGATGTGTGGACAGTGGTTGGCTTGGGCCAGGCCTTGAGATGTGGGAGGAATTGGAGAGAGGGAGGAAGGCAGGGGGCATGGAGTGGCAGGTGTGGGCCAGAGCATGCGGAGGGGCGATTACCAAGGCAGATGTGGAGCTGGGCTTCGGGAGGAGACTCACGGGCTACAGGGCAGAGGCAGGGCCTTGGATGGCAGGCCACGGGGCTGAGCTGTACTTGGTTCTGAAGGCAACTAGAGGCCACAAGCAGGTTCATGGGGACGGGCACAAAGTGAAAGCGGCTGAAGTATCCCGAGGCTCAACTGTCCTCTCCAATAGGACACTGGCAGAGCCAAGGGCAGAGGCAGGTGTGGCCATAAGACCTGCATGAGGACTGCTTGTCCACGCAGAGCTCTCCATGCTCCAAGCCAGAAGGTAGGCAAGATCAGGTTGCCCTGCACTGTTCTGGGACAAGAGACAGGCTGAGTTAGTGGCCTGTAGATGGTGTCAGGGAACCGGAGGCAATAATCCAGGAGAGAAGGGGCCAAGGTCCTGGGATCCTAGGTGAAGACTAGCAACCTTTGGCCCGAGTTTCCACAGGGCTGGAAAAGCCTCTTAGGACCCAGAGAGTTCTTAGACCTGATAGGATCTAAGCTTCAACCTGAGTTCTACAAGCCCCCACCTTCTTGCACCCCAAGGAAGGCAGCTCAGAGGAAGCAGCAGGCCTGGAAGGGGCAGGAGTGGAGTTGGAGGGTCCAGGACACATGGGGTGAGGGGCCCCTTGAGGCCGGGGCCTGGCCTAGCCACCCTCTTCTTGACTCACACCACATTTTATAAACTCTGACCCAGGCTGGCCTCTCTGGGAAGACTGTAGAGAGGCCAGGTTGTCAGTGGGCCCTCCCATCCCTAATCCCCACAAGCAATTTTCAAATCTTCCACTTTTAAAACAGAAAACGGTAAATGCACCGTGTTGTATATTTTATTTAAATAAAAAAATTCCAGCAAATGCTGCCTTTTTCTAGGGGACAGGGTCGGGGTTGGGTGAGGTTAATGGGCAATCCTTGAGTCTCAGAAGCCCAGCTGTGCAGGGTTTGGGACACACATGGGCGTGTGTACAAACCTTCACTTTCAAGCCCATTGGGTCGAGCTCTGTGCACAGAGGTGTGCACGGGAGTATATAAGGCCCAACACAGGTGTGTACCTGCAGGTGGGTCATTAAGTCTGCATCTTTGCTACTGCAGGGGGAGGCAGAGCTGGGGGAAGTGTAGACCCTGACTCAGATCCTTCCTAACTGCCAAGACTCCAGGGTCCTAGGTGGTAGTAAAGATGCTAGAAGCTGAGAAGGGAGATTCCATCTTTGCCTGATTAGGCAGGGCCCTCAGAAGAGTTGGAGGGATGCTGGGAACCTGAGGTGGAAGGCTGGGGGGAAGGCATCATGGGGGTGGCTGAGGATGGGGGCACAGTGCTGGACCTCTGTGTGGCTCAGGCAGACTGGGTAGAAGGGCCAGAGCTGGGGCCCAGTTGGAAGGAGGTGTGGCACCGTCTTTCCCCCTCCAGTGCCAGTGGTGGTTGGGGGCTGCTGGGTCTGGTCCCCTCCACCAACCCTGCAGCAGACGGTCCCTACAGGCCCTCATACCTCACTGTGTGGGGAAGGCCTGAGGCTGGGAAAGCGGAGTCCCCGGGGCTCCCGGTGGTGCAGGGAGTGCCTTCTTGCCTGCAGGAGAAGGGGAAAGTCCTCCAGAAAGGGCAGGGATCCCGGTGACCAGCCATTCCCCATCATTGCTTGCTGAGGCCGTTTCCGTGGCAACCGGCCTGGGAGTCCCGTTACGTTGCTAAGGAGGCAGCTCAGCAGGGCCTGGCGTCCCCATGACAACTGCCCCCTGCGGCCAGGCAGTGGTGCTTCCTTTGGGACCGAAGGCACAACACAGGGACAGGCCCAGGTGCTGCCAGGCAATTTGTGCTTAGACAACTGCCGCCACCTCTGGGTGGCTGGCCTCGGGCTGGGGAAACCTTTTCAGCTGGACAGCCACTGTAGGAAGCCTGGGAGAGGGGGCTGTTCCTGGGGTTCACTGGGGATTCCAACCAAACTGCTAAGGCGGTGGCCACACCAGTCACTGTCTTCCCTGTTCCCTACTCCAGAAGGACTCTCAGTAAGTGCCTACTGCATTCTAGACCCTGAGTGTTTTCCTGTTACCTTATTCCATCCCCCCCAAAATCCTACAAGGTCAGAATGAGCCCTAATCACAGTGAGCCAAAGGACTCTGAGGCTCAGATGGGGCAGGAACTCATCTCACCCCTGTCAGCTAGAATGGAAGGAGCCAGGATGCACGCTCAGGGCTCTGAGACTCAAACCTTGCCCCTTCCTGCAGCATGGTAGGAGCTGTTGTCCTGGGAGAGTATTAAAAACAACAATGAAAATGACTTCAGTGCTAGTTTGCTTTCCCTTATCACCATATGCTGCCAATTCAAGACAACATCAATGATAAGACACCCTCCCCACCAGGGCAGACAGCTCTCCCTCACCTTGAATTGCCACTGCCCACCCCCGTGTTTCAGCCCCCAGGGGCACCTGCTGTGTTCATGGTGGCCAGAAACGGTGGGAAGGCCTGAGACTTCCTTTCTGCCTCAGTGGGACTAAATCAGACTAGGAAATTTGCAAGAAAAATTTAAAAGATGTAATAAAATCCCTCCCCTTTCCCTTCCCAGCTGACACCCCTCTCTCATCTCAGACATCTTGAGAGTTGTCCCAACTTCCTGTCCTCATTTCCCTCCTTGGGCATCACTTCTTCCTCCCCTGCAATCTGGTTTCTGCCTCTCCCCGCTGCTGTTCCACCTGGAATGGCTCTGGACAAAGTCCCCATGGCCCACACAGTGGAATCCAGGGGCTGCTGACCTTGTTGACCAGACCCTCCCCAGCTTCAGGGTCCCTGTTGTCTCCTCACTGCCCCACCTTTCTGCTCAGCCTTAGCTTTAAGGGCTCCTCTTTCTTCCAAAAGGTTGGTGCTCCTCAGGCCTCTAGCCGTGACCCCTGTCTTGTCACTCCGTACATGCTCCCAGGGCGACCTCACTCATGCCCATGGCTTCCCACTCAGAGGCAAAAGCCTCCCAGATTTCCCCTTCATCATAGGCCCCCAATCCTGCAGGGGCTGCTGCCACTTGGGCTGCTCACCCTCCTCTGAAGGAGCAGCCCTTTCACCCTCTTCTGAGCATGCAGGTCCCAGTGCACCCAGAGTGTGTCCTCCCCAGCCACTGCCTGTTCACTTGGCTTCTTCAATTTCATTTCTCTTGAAGGTGGAATATGTCATGCATGCAGAAGAAGACATATCACACAAATAAGATATTAAAAGTAAAATAAACAGCTGTTTACCAACCACCCAGTTTAAGAAATAGAACATAAGGAGTACACCTAGAAGCATCTGTGAAGATGCCCAACTATTTTCTTCCTCTAAGGAAAACCATTCATCTGGGCTTTAATTGTGTCATCCCCTTACTTTTCATGATCCCTCCACTAGGGAAATAAATGTCTCTAAACAATGTTACACACCAAGGTGGGGGAGTGGGGATTGGAAGTTGTTTCCTTGAGGGGGAGGAGGATACTGATAGTAATATTGTTCAGCATTGCTGGTACATGGTGACAATAAAAATCAACTTACGCTTCAGTTAGTTTTATTATTGTTTTACATTTCTTTACAAAGAATGTATCTTTTTTATCATCTGCACTAGGGACTGGGTCATACCCACCCCGTGTTCATACACCACTCAATGCATTTGTGATTTTTAAGCTTTACATACATGATGCATCTATTCATAATTCTTTCTTTCTGTTCAATAGTATAATTTTGAGATCCTAATAATGCATGGAAGGTAGTTGATTCGTTTCCCTTGCTGTATAGCATTCCAGTCTGTGAATAGTCCACAATTTACATTTGTATTCTTCCAAAGAAGGGGGTGTCTGTCGATTCCAGTTCTCATCAATATCAACTTGGCTGCGGCAAGTGCTCTTGTTCATGGCTCCTGGTGAAGATGTGTATGGGGTCTCTGGACTCTATAGCTAGGGGTGGAATAAATGAATCAAAGGGTGAGTTAATCTTCACTTTACAAGACAACACCAAGGGCTGGAGCTGTAGCTCAGTGGTAGAGCTCCTGCCTTGCACGTGTGAGGCACTGAGTTTGATCCTCAGCACCACATAAAAATAAATAAATACAGATGTTGTGTTCCTCTACAACTAAAAAACAAAAATGATATTGCCAAGCTGTTTCAAGTATTCTAACCACTTATCCTCCCACCTGCAGGGCAGGGCAGTCACTCTTGCTCCATGTTTTTGGTCAATTA